CTAGGTTCAGTGACTCACTAGGCAGTCTCACAGGATTCAGGACATAGTCCTGTGGCTATCACTTATTACAGAGAAAGGTTACAGAGCAAAATTAGCAAAGGGAAATACCGTGCGTGGAGAGAAATCCAGAGGAAACCAGGCACAAGCTCCCGTGAGCTCTCTCCCGGTGAAGTCACATGGGATGTGCTTGGCTTCTCCAGTCAGATCATTAAGATGTCTGAGGTGTCATTGGCCAGGAAAGCTCTTAAGATACTCGGTGCCCAAAATTTTTATTGGGGGCTGATCAGGTAGGTCCTCCCTGCCTGACAAGTGCCAAAATCTCGGGTTCCCAGAAGGAAGGTGGTTGTCCAGCATAAGCCACATTGTTTACACAAACAGTCCAGGCACAGTAACCCCCCTCTATCATTAGGGGATGACGAGAGCACTTGCAGAATGCAGCTTCCCACACATCAGTCGAGCGCCAGCCTTGTGCTCAGGCCTTTCTAGGATAGATGTCTGAAACCCACTGTGCTGATGCTTCTGCACAGACACATACCTAGAACTGGAACTGCTAGGTCATGTGGGAACTCCATAGTTAACTTTTTTTTGCCCAACTGTTTTCCAAAGCAGTTTTACTCTGTTCATCCTAGCAGCCATTTGTGAGGGCTCCAATTTCTGTACACCCTGTCCAACACTTTTCATTGTCCATCTTTTTAGCATAGCCATCCTCGTGGGACTAATAGGTTTTTAAGTTAATGGTTTACAAGAATTTAGAATAAAAAATGATGACCTGTAGGAGCCAAAATGGGTTCTCCAAGAATAATCATGCCAGGCTAACTCTTCATTTTCCTTTTTTAAAAAGGACAATTTATTTTTTCTGTACTAGCTGTACTAGGGCAGAGTGTTTTTATATTTCAGCTGTGCCTTTCACAGTATCTTCGTGTACAAAAGTGGGGAAACGGGTTGTACTATCTGGTGGATTCCTCACTTACTGACAGATGATGTCGAAGAACAGTGTTGGAGAGTGCAGGAGAGTGGCCCTAGTTGCTGCTTCCCTGGCTGGCCTCAGCCAGCCACTCACATTTCTGTTCAAAACCTGGGGGGAGATGCACATAGCAGTCCCCAAGGCAGGCAGACACACACGTGTTGAATGATATGATCTGGTTCCAGAAAGATCCTGATGGCATGGTATGGTAGGCAGAGTCCAACAAGGTGGAAGTTACAGGACACATGGTGAGTCCACACCTATAGGATCTGGTCCAGGATAACCAGGCCAAGTGTGGCAAGTTTGCACTTGGGTTTCTGTTCATTAGCATAAGAGTAGTCAGCCACAACAGAGGGGTGACAGCGTCTCAGAGCACCTGGGAGACTGTTACGTTGTGTGGGCCTACAGTTTCAGAGGGCTCAATGGACAAGCATAGCAGGTTTGCAGCTGGCTAGCAGGAGCTCCCGGCCACTGGAGAGCTGGGTCCCTATGGCCAGAGCTCTGTGTTGTAGAAGCAGAATGAGCTGTCCCCTGGGACCCACAGGAGAAAGCAGACTTGGACTGATGAAGGAAGAACTTTGTGAGACACTGGCATTGAATGGGCTGCCTGGTAAGGGAGTGAGCCCCCATCACTGGGATGTTCAAAGAGAGATGTACTCCTGAACCCTCTATTAAGGAATTTCTGGGGCAGAAGGTAGCCTGGGGACCTTTGAGGTCTTAGAACCACCGAGGCATGAAGTCAGGGACTGTCCATCTCTAAAGCCAAGGATTGCCCATGGCATATATCACCAGTTTCAGAGTGAAACATTAGCCTTTCTGTGGGGTACCCAGGATGCTTCCCTCGGGACACATGAATGCCCACTTCTGAGCTCCCTTTGCTCCGCAGCCCTTCCTCTGTGACCTGCTTGCCCAGTACGTGTCTTGCCTGTGATATGTATGGGCCACGTCGAACCTCCCAGCCTTGTGTTAAACTCCAGAGCCAATTCAGCAGATCCTTAACGTATGGCTTCTATGTGCCAGCCCCTGGATGCATGGTGGGGCATGCAACTGGGAGCGGGGGTGGTCGGACAGACCACAGAGTCACAGGTGTGAGAGCTTGACTGCAGGCTGCCTGGGACTGCGGACTGGGGCCTGACTTAGGACTGGGAAGAGACCTTCCTGCAAAAGTGCCTTTCAGCTGGGACCTGAAGGGACATGAGCGTTGGCAGGGAAGAGGACAGTAGGGGCAAGAGAACTCTCCCATCCCAGGACGGGACACCTGTAGGTGCTTACTAGGGGCATGGTAGGAAGAGAGATAAGAACCACCCTCTGGGGGCTGTTCTCTTCCTGCTCACATAGCACCTAGGATGAGTTGCTGCGGCCTGAGTCCAGAGGCCTGTGTGCATTTGAGGATCTCCTCCTGGAGGTGGCTCTAATGGCCTCCTGAGTCTGGTCCTGATGCTTCACCCTCCACTGGTGGATGACTGTGAGACTGGGCTTCATTCCAAGCATCTCTACATCTCTGTGGTGACAGCTTCTTTGAGACCATGTAGATACCTGTGATTCCTGTAATTACTCCTGAACACCCACTTCTCTCTCCCTAGCAGGGGGGTTTTCAGGGTAGGGTGCAGCCCCCCAGATCTCTGCTCCTTCTTTTCTGTTGTCATTTATGTTTTAACAGCCTGGTGCTCTCTCTCACCCCCAGTCACCTGTCCTCTTTCCCCTCACACTGACTTAAGAGAAGGAGACCCTACATAAGAGAGACTGAGGAAGGAGGCCAGTCCCCCTCAAGTATTCATATCTGGCAATTATTTGCTGTTATTGCCAATTCAAGATAAGTAGAAAATAACATAGGAACAGAACCAGGGTGCAAAGCCTGTGCCAAGTGCATGGTGTGTGTTACTATGACAGTCGTATGTGTGCCACATAGGAAGCCTTGTGTCAGGCCAGGCATGGGGGTAGGGTCTGCTGCCCTGATGAGTGAGCTGGATTCCAGCCCAGCAGCTGTGCTGTCCTGACCACTTTCCATCTCTGGACCTCAGTTTCATCATCTGTGAAATGGTGGTACTAGATTATCCTGCCTTTTCACGTGGAATCCAGACTGTGACCTGTCAGATCAGCCCTCCTGGTCTGTACATGTGGGCAGCTGTGGTATCTGTCCAGGTGTGCCTAGGGGAGATGGCTTTGAAGCATGGGTACCAGGAGTGGCCGAGCACAGAGAATGCACGTGGTGATGTCCTGAGCAGGAAACGCAGGCTGGGGATGGGAGGAAATGGCAGGGGATCTGGAAGTGAGGGGAACAGTAGGAATAAGCCAATAAGAAAGATCAGTGGTACTCAGGCATGGCCCATGAACCAGCAGTGTCACATGGGAGCTGTTAGAAAGGCAAATTCTCAGGCCCCTCCCCAAACCGGTTGAGTCAGAAGAAGGGGCCCGGCAGTCTGATTTAATAAGCCCCAGTGATGTAATGCACCTTACAGTTGAGAACCTGTAGGCTAGATGGACGCAGGGGTGGACAGATGCGGCTTGGAGACCCAGTATTTTGAAGGTCAGGGAAGGCAGAGAACTGGTATTTGCTAGTCACCTGCTGTCAGAAGCAGGGCATTGCCATTATGCCCTTCCTTCGGACCTTTTAGGACTGTGGCAAGGCAGGCCTTGATATGTATTGTAGGCCTCAGGTAAGGAGCAGGGACTCAGAGACATTTGCTTTCATGTCAGAGTCACAGATAGCAGCGGAGGTAGGATAGAGCCCAGATTTCCCGCTCTCGAAGCCTGAGTTCTTTCCAGCACATCAGGCTACTTCCCCACCCACCATCTTTCGATGGCAGGCCCTGGCTCATCTCCTGCTCCACCAGTCTCCCCAGAACACTGCTGTGCTGTGCTCCTTCTGCAGCCTCACACAAAGGCACAATGGGTGCACTGCAAAGGCAAATGAGGGAGACCTGAAGGACAAGGGGCAGGGTGGGGGCGGGTTGTCGCCTTGTATCTCCCTCATTTCCAGGTCTGAGGGCAGCTGGGGAGGAGCAGGGGGCTGGCACGATGATCCTGAGGGTGGACGTGATTGCCTTCCCTCAGTAAGAGCTCACGCACATACCAGTGAGGGAGTCCCTGAAGTCATCACATGAGTCTCTTTGAACTCCTCTGTCCTACCCTGGAGGTCCCAGGGGGGCTGGCTTCCTCCCTTAGTCTCTCCACAGACACACATTGAAGCTAAGCCCTGGCTGGGTGCCGTGGGGGAAACTGAGGCAAGACAAGTATAGTTTCTGACCTCAAGGAGCTTACGTTCCGGAGCCAGGGGAACAACAAATAGAAGCCAACTGGGATGCTGGGGAGTCTGGGACCTCCAAGGTAGGGCAAAGGAGTTCAAAGAGACTCATGCGATGACTTCAGGGGATACAACAGAGGCTTTGGCAATAGACCTGACTGGGAAGCCTGAGGGAATAGGCTCAGTTCCCTCACTGACTCGCTGGGTAAGCTTGGGCAAGTGACCTTACCTCTGTGACCTGTCTCCTTACCTATAAAGTGGAGTTGACAATACCTGGCCTAGGGAATTGTTCTATTAGATTATAACAGGCACTCACTCAGCGAGCATTGGCTTCCTTCCCTCTAGGGCGTTAGATTAGGCCAAAGCAAAACAGGGGAGGCTTCATGTAAGAGGTGATTTTTCACTTTGGCCTGAAAGATGGTTGGAATATAGTTAGTGCTTTTGGTGTCTTCTCTGGGAACTCTCTGGGTAGACTCTGGACACATGGAGCTATCCAAGGAGAGCGGCTCTCCTGGCAGTTGTAATTGTGCAAATAAAATTATGGGGAGAGGAAGGCACTTTCAATTTGGAAGATTATTTTTTAGATGTGGTCTAAAGGCCTGTTGCTAAGGGTGGAGCCGGGCAGCAGTCCATGCTGTGGAGCTGGGCGCTGGTGTGGTGCTCCGAGGGGCAGACATAGTTCGCCAAGAGCTCATCCCCATGCCGGGTGACAGAGCTGCGGGCATGTATGATGCCAAACCCCAGGCCACACTGTGGAGCTGTCGCCCTGACTTCGCCCTGCTTTTCCTGTAGATGATGCAGTTTGCCTGGCAGAGCTACAGGCGCTACGCGATGGGGAAGAACGAGCTCCGCCCACTGACCAAGGATGGCTACGAGGGCACCATGTTTGGTGAGTCAATTCCAGCCACTGTGATGTCAGGAGACCCGTGCCCCCCGGCGGCCGAGTGGCATTTTCACCTCCCGAGTTGTGTCCATATTCCCCCGGACCTGGGGCCTCCATGTCTATTTCTTTTCCAGGCTCTTCAGGCTTCTGACCCCTCCTGGACTGGAGAGAAACCCACATGCTTCTCCCTAACCTTATGGACTCCTCTGTCTATCCTAATCATTGATTTTTTAAAGTGGAGACCTTGGAAATGTGAATAGGCATGGTAAGGGATGGAGATCTGTTTCCTTGGTGGTCTGGAGGCCTGAAGGACACAGAGGACTGAGTTTAAATCTGCTGCTCCAGAGTGTGCCTGTCAAATGGTCTTGGGTGTTTCCACAGAGAACCCAGCACATATCCTATGTGCCTGTAGAGGTGTGGTGGGGCTGGGCATGGTGGCCCCTGTGGTCTCAGCTACTTGGGAGGCTGAGGCAGAAGGATCGCCTGAGACCAGGAGTTCAAGTCCAGCCTGGGCAACATAGCATGAGCCCATCTAGAAATGTGGGGATACAAGCTACTCGGTGGACAAGCAGAACAGCTGCACATTAGGGGTAGCTGCTGCTGCTTGGCAGCTTGCTGTATTTTGTCTTGTATTCTAGCTTGCTGAGATCTTTGCCCTCACCCATCCTTGGGATTCACCTAATCCAGAATCTCGGGAGCCTCTGTGCATCTCAGAGAGCCTGCAAGGTGCCTTCTTGTGGGCATGGCCTCAGATTCCAACAGTAGCACCCATCCAAATTGTCAACCGCTATCCCCCACAGCTTTCATGTGAGGAGACGCTGGGGACAGCCTGGACTCCATCTTCCCTGAGAGACAGGAACCAAAGAACAAGTCTGAGACAGAAATTCCCAGGAAAATCTTATAGACAAATTTATAAGAAACGGCCCCAACGTGTATGTCCCTGTCAGAAGTGTTCGTGTTATGGGGAAGGTGACAGGGTCTGTGCCTTCCTCCTCCTCACCAGTAGACGTCAGACCCTTCCTGGCTGTTCAGATGATTCACTCCCCTTGGTGGAGGTGGCATGCGGGTCGGGGTTGCTTTGTTTTATTTATTTAATTGCTTGTTTGTTTGTTTATTTGATTATCCTAGGAGTATGGGGGAAAATAGGAAAGTATCAAAAAAGTGCAAGTTAGACAAAAAATAACTTGTTCTGCCATGTAGATGCAGCCTTTATTGGCATCTTCACTTATTTCCTGTCAATATTTTCTTCCATATGCTTTTTCCTCCTCTTTTATATACAATTTTATGTCTTTTCCTGTTTTTTTTTGGCTTCATGTTCTATCCTGTTTCCCTAAGTCATCTAAATTTTTTCATAAAAAAAGTTTTCAGTGGTTTCAATGATTTTACGGTTAATTCACTTAACCATTCTGCTAATGTTGGACCAACATTGTTCCAAATTTTCACTATTAAAAATAATATAGGAGTTACGACCTTTGTGTATAAAATTTTGTCTCAGGATAGATTTCTAGAGAGGAACTCCTGAGCCAGATGGGAGGAGGAAGAGAGACATTTCTTTAACCCCAGATGTGAAATGTGTTGATTCCTGTTGGGGGCGTGGCTGCCTGACCCACCGAGAACAAAGACCTCTCCCAAGCATCCTCCACACACCCTGGGAAAGGCTGCTGGTACAATCTCCTCCAAGTTGCTGGAGCTTTTGCTACTTGTATAAACAGAGGTGTGATAGAGAAAGCTTCTCCCTCCTTCTCTCTAAATAGTTTGCAAATAGTGTTGGAGGGGCCAGGGGAAGTTGTTGATTTCTGAAATTGCGCAGCGTGGGCATAGCTATTGCTCAGACCATCATGGGAAACACTTCTGGGAGGGACTGGGCTAAACCGAGTTCCATTTTATAAAATTCCTCAGGGACTGGGATTTAAACCTCAGCCCTCTGGCCCCTCTTCAGTCACCAAGCCTGGTAGAGTGTGGGCCACCTGGAATGGTGGAAGGCACCTGGGCCTAAAGTTAGAGGTCTGGGAGCAGGTCCTCATTCTTTCCGGAGCTGTGTGGCCAAGCCCAAGTCACTTAACCTTTCTGGGCCCCTGTTCGTTCCTCCTGCCTACTGGGACTGCTGTGAGGTTATAAATGTGTGTATGAATAAGCAAAGGGCCATGAATGTATGAGTGATTTTTACGGTTTCTGTTGTAATAAATGAGGTTGGCAGTTGCCCCAGTGAGCCTCTGGCGGGCTCTGAAGTGCCCTGGGTTGTCTGTCTCCCAGCAGGAGTTCTGTCACCTGGCACCTGTGGTGGTCCTGGCCGTGAGGCAGCCCCAGATGAGCTGCAGTGGGTGGCAGCTCCTAGGAAGGAGGGCATGTGGGGACCAGGGCCAGGCAGGGAGAGCTGGGCTTGGTGTACTTACTCTTTCAGTCAGCAAGTGCTTGCTGGGTGCCCGTGCCCAGCGCTGACTGCCGGGACACAGAGGTGACAGTGCCAGTAATCCTGCCAAGTCATGCACTGGCAGCCCTTCCCTAGAGCCTCTCTGGGTCTGTCTAGGTGTTTTCAGAGAGAAGGACAAGTAGAGGTGATCACAAGCAATGACATGAATAGTCCTTATTGGCTGGAGGTTCGTGTTTCTAGAGCCCAACAGACCTAGGTTCAAATGTGGATTTTACCACTTCCTGGTCGTGTGACCCTTGGTGTATCATTTCTCTCTGAGACTGAGTTTTTCTGGAAAGTGGAGCTAGTGGTGACATCAGACCCCAGCCTAGAGCCTGCCTAACAGTAGAACCTGTTAATTGGTAGCTATGATCATTGTTACTACAGACGGATCTTAGGATATAGAGGCTTATGGAAATATACCCAGAGATTGAATGGTGAGGGACATTCTAGGAGCCTGGGAGAGGTTCTAGTTGGGAGTGGACCCATGTAGGACTCTGAGCTTATTCCCAAAGATAGCAGAACAAAAAGCAAAAAGCTGGGTGCAGTGGCTCATGCCCGTAATCCCAGCACTTCAGGAGGCCAACGTGAGAGGATCACTTGAGCCCAGGAGTTTGAGATCCGCCCAGGTAACATAGTGAGACTCATCTCTACAAAAAAAAAAAAAAACTTAAATTAACTGGGTACAGTGGCATGTACCTATAGTCCCAGCTATTGGAAAGGCCGAGACAGAAGGATCACCTGAGCACAGGAAGTCAAGGCTGCAGTGAGCCGTGATCATGCCACTGCACTCCAGCCTCCAAAAAAAAAAAAAAAAGGATAGCAGGAGATGGACTGGCCCAAACTAAGCAACTTGCCACACCACCCGATGCCTTTTCTGGACCCATAGGGGCTGTTGGTTGCCTTATTTCTGAACTCTGGCCGCTGCTGTCATTGATGACCTCCCTGTAGGCTGAGCCTGCAGACACAGGACTCTCGGGTAGTCAGTGGCAGGTGCCCATCCTGCCATGCCTGGCTGAGTTGGATATACAGGGAGACCCTGAGCAGCCCCCCACCTCCCGGTGCTTGGGTGGATGTGGGCCTGCAGGGCTGCAGTGGGGAGGGGTGATGGGGTCGCACTGGTGCCTTGCTTTGCTGAGGTTTACAGGGGCTACAGTGACTGCTGGCAGCTGCCCGAGTGTGTCTCCCTTTGCTGCATCCCCCCAGAGTGAATCCCCCCTCCGGGCCGCCCACTTGCCCCTCCCCAAGAATATTCTTACTCTAAGGACAAAACCTCTGGGTGAGACTTCTCTGAAGCCCATTTCTGTGTCCTGAGCAGTTCAGTGTCAAGCAGCTTCCTTTCTATCCACATCCAGCTCAGCAGGCCCTGTCAGAAGGCACTTCCAAAGCCCCAGTGGCAGCCAGCAGACAGGAAACAGCCCACTTCTCACCTGGTGGCTCAGGCCAAGGCAGACTTCTGCCTCCCTCCTCTCCTCTGAGAGGTGGCCAGATGGGACAGTTAGTGTCTGGCGGGGTGGCAGAAGGAGCATGGCCTTTGGATCTAGATGACCTGGGTGTATCCCATGAGGCCTCAGGTTATGGACTGAGGCAGGGACCTTGCCTCCCTGGCCTGTGGTGATGATTAGAGAGGAGATGGGCAAAGGGCCCAACCCTGAGCCAGGCGGTCTTATTGCTGTTAAGTCACAGAGGTATGTTTGCAGCTTGAAGAGTGCATGGAAGAGCAAGGATGGGTGAGGGAAGGAACCAGCCGTACAGGGGCTCATACACTGAGGCCCAGCCTCCTCACCTGTGAAAGGGGCAAGTGTTGGGGGAATGCTAGCTGAAGAGCATGAATCTGGGACTAGATGATTCATATTTGCGAGCTGCTCTGCTGCTTACTAGCTGTGAGACCTTGGCCAAGTTTCTTAACCTCTCTGGGCCTCAGTTTCTCCATCTATAAAGTGGGGACAATAATAGTACCCCTTCATAGGATTGTTTTGAGAATTAGATGAGTTAGTATGTGTAAAGTGCTTATACTCATGCCTGGCACGTAGGAAGCATTCATCAGGCGTCAGCTGCAATGAGGATGAGGTAAGGCCCTTAGAACAGCATGTGCTCCCATTTTGACTGGGGCATGCCCAAGTCCCCTGCACTGAGGAACCCATGTGAGGGCTGTAGGGCTTTCCCAGCCCTGATCCCTCCTGCCCTGCTCCCCTGGCCCTCAAACATCCATGGCAGAAATCTTGGGTGCCAGCCCACCGGTGGGCTGTGTATCTCTTACCCCTTCATTTAAGCAGTTTACACGGGAGCTTTTTATAGGGAAGAGGCAGGGGAAGGCTAGGATTCAAGGCTTTGGAATAAATCAGCCTCCTGTTGACAGAAGTGTTTCTGGGCAGTGGTGAGCGACACCTCACACTTGGTGTCAGCGGCCAACCTTGGAAGTACTTCATCAACACTCATCTTTCTAACAAGCAGTACAATCCCTGGACACATCATCCTTCCTTGGCAGTGGGAAACTGTCACAGGGTACAGAGTTGTGGGATGTTGTCAGTGGAAGGACCATTTGATGACGAGTCCCACCCCCTCATTTTAGAGGTGGGGAAACTGAGGCTCAGAG